AAAAAAAACTATCTCGATTTCTGCAAAGTTAATGTACATGTTCCTCTTCTTACCGTCAGTACTACTATCAAAAGATTGGTTTTCCCGTGAAATTAAGCTCCTTTGTGTTAAAAAGACAACTTATCTCCTTATTGAAGGGAAGATTTTTATTTCATAGCCGGAACTGCTGCATGGTGGACTTGCCGGAACGCAAACTGCTGCGCACGCAGCTACATAGATTCTGATGGCACCTCGGCTAAGGTGTATGTCGAGTGACGTGCATGGCTCTGTTTACGTGATTTTTCATGTTGAATAGTGTACCTTTTAATTAATGTGCAAGCTGTCTTCTTTGTTTCAGGAATAAAAAAACGAACCAGCTTAAGATATGAGTCAGAAGTCAGGACATTTCAAAGAAATAGGTTTAGAGGAGTTTTTGTTTGTAGCTTCAACAATTCAATCGGTTGTTTTATTCACTAATCATCTAATTAATATATAGTTAGAACCTTTTTTGTTATCTCCAAAAGCTTAAAAACCTATAAAAATAGCCTTTTTAATGCGGATATGTATGTAAAGTTGTGCCGGGAAAAATTGCGCCGCTCGACCATCCGCTGGTTGAGCTCTGCAAGTGGGCGGCAGTTCCCAGAGACTTTGCCGTCTTACCTCGAAGCAAGCATTTAGGCAGGCAGACGCACTAACGTGATTCTTCGGCTTTTCCGCCAAAATGAATGCTACAATGTATGAAATATGAAAAAGTTATCGCAGAATCATTCTTCACGAATTTGCATTATACAACCACTGGAATCCAGAATTACATCTTAGTATAAGATAAATAATGTGAGGAGCCTATCAATACTACAAACAATAGCGCTTCATCAAACCAAATTTCTAAACTACAAATCTTTGAGGTCCTTCCTTTGAAAAGTTTTACCGCATTTTTTTAGTCTAATGCCTGTGTTATCTAAACCACTTTAGCATTTTTGTCAATGATAGAGTATGTAGCGTGCTGTAGGTTGCGTATCCACGTAACTGCTTGCGTAGGAAAAGGCAGTAATGTGCTGGGAACTCCTGCGCGCCCTCCCTGCAAGTATGCATGCAAACAGCAGCAGCGAAGTCAATAAAATGAACGTAGCCAAAGCCAGATTGTTATATGGCTCCTATCCTACCTTATTTTTCCTTTAAAGAAATTGTTAACGAAAGATGAAATCTGCAAAATGTGCATTGAAGCCTCAGAAGCAGATAGATGATAAGGTTTTGCACGAGAAAGACGATTTTGTCGCAGTTACGACAACTTCGTTGAAATTGACTAAAGTTGGCATTAAGAACCCAATAGAATTCCTCTCTGCCTTTGGAAGATGTTGAAAAACTGTGCAATTTGAAAAAGATCTGCCAAAGCGAGAGCAATGTTGGATTGCGCCTATGAATGACCTCTGTTAATTTTTTTGTATCTGAAATAGCAAATTAATGTACTTACTAACTGTCAGAAAATGCCTGTGATATATTCCTTGGCACATAGGCAAAATTACATAAGCAGAGAATGTTCTCATCTTTTGCCACTTCAGCAGTCCGCGATGCGAATTTGAACACCATTAAAGGTGCAAAGGCGTTCTTAACCAGTGCGATCTAAGATATCTACTTTTCCAAATTCATTTAACTTTCTCAATGAAGACGACCTTGTCCTCAACACTCAAACCACCCATCAATGCTGACAGATGCTCGACCCAATCTATAGCAGCAATTAAACGGCGATAAGCTACCGAAGACAACTCATTATTCTTGGCCATCCGAAACGGTTCGTAACGCATCTGCAACACTGATAAAATGAACGGTTTCTTGTTCTTGATGATGGCAGTAATTTACAAAAAAATGCAGCTCCACTGCTACAATAATGCATGCGATAAACTTCTAAAAAAGTGAACTTACCTCGGATCGTTTACCTTTTAGCGTACTTGGATCATCGATAATTTCTCTTATAGTGTTTAATCCTAACGGATACAGTTGTGAAGCATCCATGTTAGTGTCACCCTGAATCATAAGAGAAACAGTTGCAAAACTTTAATAATGTGCTGCTTACTACGTAAGCGTCAAGAATAATGATAGCTGTCAGCAGTCGCGGGCGCATATGCTGCGCCAACCAAGGGGCGCATCGTTAGATACCCGGTGCTCTCTCGGGCGAGAGCGTGCCAGGCAGCTAGATCCGTTTTGATCGATGAAATCTGGTGCGATCGAGTCTGCTGCCGAGCGCATCTCAAGCCCCGCCCGCTTTCTGCTCTTACGCCGGCTGCGTCATATTGCGACCGCTATCTCAGCGCCGCCGAGGAACTATAATTTGGTGTCTCGCCATCAAAAAAACTTAAGCACACTGCAAATTAAGCCCCAAACATGGCATATAAATTACAAATGGATGTATAATGTTCTTAGCACTATTATAAGAAGATTAATAGTATTTTTCACATTAACTTCCAGAATTTCAAACAGAAAAATTTGTTTAACTCTCCATCTTTGTTCCTCAGGAAAAAAATATCTTTATAAATTCCATAGTGTAGAGCCGACTCATGCATGGAATGTTTGAGAATACTATCTCGTTAGACATTGTGGACAATGAATGGTAATAACGTCCGGTCCCTCTCTATTCAAACAAGTCTTAGCTCCCTGTCCATATTCTTTAATATAAGGCCGTAGCGGTTTTTGTTTTGAGGCAGCCTGCTCTGAGGCAATGTACAACGATATCTAGCTGCTTCGCATAATATACTTTGCCACATTTTAGTTCTACACTATCATTCACTGTACTGTTTTTCTTTTAAATTTTTATCATTGGTAACATTGTCAAGACAATTTACCGGTAGCTACCAAAAAGTAGGAGTTCCGAAAAACTTAGACGAATGAATTTTTGCATTTCGCATTTGTTGCATATATTCATGCTAAGGTTCATGCAGATTTCATTGCTTTATAATTAACTATAATGTTGCGTAGTTTAGGAAAAATAATGGGTAATCCTGTTTCGGAATAAAACAAAACTGTGCCAGTGCCCTCTAATTGCGAAATGAACAATAACTGTGCATTTACTTTCTATAGTTTTGAACTACTCTTCTTCAATTCGGACTATTCCTACTCAATTTGAATCTGGTGTTTGGTTTGAAATTCTGAAATTAATGTAAGATATACTATAAATTCTCTTTCAC